ATAGAGTTAAAGTCAGATTTTATGGAATTTCCTGTAAAGTAAATCAGCACACTGGTCGTTTTATAAAATGTAGTTCCTTTGTTAAAAAAAGAAAATAAAAATACTGTCAGCTGTTGGTCATCAAAGAGCATTAAAATCAACTTCCCCACCGTCTGGCAGCAGGCACAAGTACAAGTCGCCAACACCAGAAACACTTAAATCACAAACTGGATATTTATTAGGGTTTAACGCTCAGAAGCAGAGCTGCAGGGGACCAGCAGGTGGAGCTGGAGCCCGATATCGAATCGCGGAAAATAAAACCTGACCCGATCCGGTTTTTAAAGTCGGCAGCGGGCTTTAAAACAACAAAACACTAAACTAACCAACTGATGGCACAAACACGAGCGAAGAGGCTGCTCCAAAATTTGCTGCAAATTTTTTCATGCCAGCCTGAAGGAATGAGTCCCAACAAAGTGGGTTCTGCATCAGCTCGGTACAAGAGTCCCTTTTCTTGTTTTTTGGCTTCTTTTTTGGTTTTTCGTTTTATCCAATTAAGTGAAGACGATAAAATATTTCCACACTTACATTCAAGTGCTTATAGGGTTATATTGCATTGTCATCTTGTCTTAATCTACTCTAAGATGGATTTGCATTAAGCCTGCGTGTTTGAGATGAATTTACTGTAGAGAGAGAGAGAAAAGAAAAAACACTCACTCTCCTTTAGAAAATAAAGTGTTTCAGGATTAATCATTAAATATATTCCATTAATTATAAACAGCGTGTCTAAATCACCTATCAAAACATTAATCAATTCACATTTAAGGAGCAGGAAGAGTACAGAGGCACAGAAGCTTATTGCTGCCACCGATGTGATAAATGTAGAAATACTGCGCTCAGATATTCACATTGCTTTAACAAGGCTGTGATCTGTGTTAGGGGAGAAGGGGAGGGGGGGTGAACCACAAGCAGTCTGACCGGTTAATGAAGCCAAATCAGAAGAACTAATCATCAGGTTATGACGTCGGCCTCCACAGTAAAGTGCTCACTCCACATGTGAAGAACATTTGAGGCTTCGGGAAACTATTGTGCAACGTGTGAGGAATCTTTGCAGTTTCAATGGCCGCGCAGGGGCGACAGTATCGCCATGTAAACAAACGGCAACGAGCCATAACTTTGGAAGTTCAAGTTTGCTTTTTTCCCCTCCTCAAAGTGGAGTTTGTTAGTACCAGGGCTGAGCGATGGTTCGACAGACGTCGTAATAATACAGGAGCTGAAAGATGGGTGTGAGATCATCTCAGCTACATGTTTCAGTCCCTAACACCAAATATATAGCACCAACTCTCCGATATGATAAATCATGCAAAATAAAACATGTTTACAAAGCTGCGAGTAAAACAGACGCTTTCGGACCAAAGAGTTCCAACGATCAGAGCTTTTTTCGTCCTTTCTGATGAAAACTGAGTTGAATAAAAAAGCTTAGAAAAGACAGACCAAGGAAGGAGCTGTGGGGGGGGGGTTGTAATTTACTACGCAGTAATACTGTCCTTCACTGCCTCACTGCGAGTGACTCCTTGATGTACAGGACTGGTTTAAATCTATGGATCTTCCCAGGAACGCAGCTGGACTTCACAGTGATGACAACCGTTATTTAGCTCTCTCATTATGCCAATGCAATAGTTAGTGTGTGCCTGTTTTTCCATTGTATTAGCAAACTACGGAAATGCTCCAACTCAGCTCTGAAGTCAGAAAAATGACAATATTTGACCTGATGAGTCCAAATCAGGTTCTTAAAGCCTGGACCAATGTCTCTGTGTTTTACTCTAATTTTATTTATCTATTTATTTGTAAATATACAAGTTGTCAGTGCTGCCACAGCAAACACCAACGCCACTAAAGGCTCCTCTTGTGCTGGAGTTGTCTGTGAACTTTATGGCCTCATTCCTGAAGTGCAGACATGCAGAAAGGTGCGACTTCCTGTCAGAGTCGAAGGAACTGCAAAAGTCCGAAAGCAGCTCGAGCGTTTGGCTGAACACCGAATAACCCGCTTTATTAAGACGACTGTAATACTGTTAAATTCAAATGGTGCTATAATGAATTTGCTGCAAAATTTAACACCACGAAGAAAAAAAATATTCTTATGACTCCTGAAATTCTTTTAATTAGATGGCCTTTGTATTCATTTATTCACCAGTCAGAAACTAAATAACTGACATTTAAACATCACTCAGCCCTTTGTAGTACCAACCACGTGACATTTCATATTGCTTTTAAACAGCAATTTCATCACAGAAGTTTTTGCTTCTCACCAAACTTTTTTTAATGCACTTTTATTCAAAGTGTAATTTAATCCAAAGTGCCTCACAATGAGCACATACCTCTGTTCTGTGTTAGTACCTTGCTCCAGCCGCGTGGAGAGAGACGTGTTTATGAGTGGACTTCCATCTGACTTGCATAAAGGTTTGTTCCAACGGGACATTATATTTTCATTAATAAGCCTTCTGTTAAACTTCACTGCATTGAATGCATCGACACACCTGCTACTCCTTCGCTTCCTATTTTAACCACAGGAGGAGCAAAAGCTGCAATTTGCTTTTTTAAAATCATTATTATTATTAATAATATGATTCATAATGACAGCATAAGTGCATCTAAATCTTCCAACTAACATTAGGAAATAACACAAATCTGGCTGATCATTGGTTTTAAATGGCCCACTGCTGGGTCCTTGTGGCATAGGAGCTTCTGACCAGAGGTCAGGTGAGGGGAGAAGACTGGGATGAGGGGGGGGGCAGGAAGAGGACAGACTGGGGGAGGCAGGTGGCTCCACAGTGTTGGGTCCTCACGGTAGAGACTCCTCTAAGACTTGCCTGCGTTGGCCACAAATGGGACTGAGCCGAAGAGATCCTCTGGAGGAAGGAGCTTGGCTGCGGCGGCAGGCGGCGGTCGGTCAGTTTCCACGCTCGTTGTCCTCTCCGCTGGCTTTTCTGTACATAAAAGATCACAATTAGATATCTACAGCTACGAGGTGATAGAAGTAGTTTTGAAATTAAATATTGTTGCATATGATTGTGGGTGTTACTGATAAATGTTCCCTCAAATATGTACAGACTCCCACAGCTCTGAGAATACACTCAGTAAGAGCACAATGCCCAAAATCTGCTATTTTAACAACAGAAAAATGTTTATTCTCCATCTGGTTAAAAAGCTAAATAAACACGGTGATACACAATCATGTGGTTCACATGCCAGATTTTTCCCTTCATCTGAAAAAGACATTAACGAGGAGCTGAAATGTTTACAGAAAATTTCTCCGTCACTTTTCAAACAATCACCTCTTTTCTTTCTTTTCTTGAAATGACAAAAGAGTTAAAACGTTAGAGTTCACTTGCTTGCTCTGAGCATGTCAAATTCCCGGTCAAGCAGCTCCTCCTCGGTCAATTTAGAAAAGTTGTCCTCTCCGAAAGGGTTCCAGCCTGACATATCGGGAGGGTTGCTGACTGCACTGCTGCAGCTCTGCAAAGGAGGGGTGACCCCATCTGTGGACAGCAGAGGGTTCCTACGGCAGAGAGAGGACAGCAAACAGACCACGTTAGAGACAATACCAATCAGATATTTCTAAGACTTCACGTTTTCCAAACAACCGATAGGACTGAAAAAACCCAATGCTGAAGTGAGAACAAACGGCTGAGGTCACGGTGCTTGCATCCATCTTCAACATACAGATGATTAATGTAAATCCCATTTTCACATCACATAAAAACGTTCTATATGCTTAAAAATGGAAAGAAGGGAAATACTCTCACATGTAGAAGGAAACCAATCTAATTTCACTTCCACAAACAGATTCAAAGGACATTACCTGGGGTTAGTGTATGAGGGATCTACAGGAGATGGCCCCCCCATCTGGCAAGTACCAGCTCCAGTTCCTGTGGTGGGTGTGGTCGCATTGTAGGAACCCAGAGGGATCTGGAACTCAAGAGGGGAAGACATATAGGGGAGAGGCTGCTGAGCAGGATGATGCTGCTGCTGCTGTGGATGTTGTTGATGATGTTGCTGATGCTGCTGTTGTTGCTGGACAAAAGCCTGTTGGTACTGTTGCAGCTGTTAGGGAAGGAAGAGAGGGAGAAGAAGGGGGGAAGGGAATGAGGGACGGACCATTGATTTCATGGCGCATTATGATGATGAAATGTTGTTAGAAACCAGTTCTGGATTTGGAAAGCTGGGGACACGGTGGAGGGGAGGGATGAGGGAATGAAAGTCAAAACAGCACATCGAACACCAAACTGAACACATCAACTAATAACGACTAACTCAAACTATGGCTGACAGATCAATTTTCTGGCCAATCAGAGAGTCCGAAACACTTCGAAACAAGATGCTCAAGTCAGTTAAAGTTCTGGGGTATTGATCTGGTCAACCACACGTGGGAGATTCCAGGAGACAATCGTTTCAGGAGAGCTGGACAGGGCCACAGAAGGCCCTTAACCCATCAGCAGGACCGGTATCGACTTCTTTGTACAAGGTGGAACAGGATGAACACTGCCAGAACCCTACAGAAGGCCACTGGTGTGAATGTTTCGGACCGAACAACCAAAAAGAGACTTCGCGAGGTTGGCAGTTCCAACACTGGCACCCTGTGCTTTTCACAGAAGAGAGCAGGTTCACCCTGAGCACATGTGACAGACGTGAAGGGGTCTGGAGAAGGCGTGGAGAATGCGATGCTGCACGTAACATCGTTCAGCATGAACAGTTTGGTGCTATGGTCCATGATGGTCTGGGAAGGGATATCCATAGGCAACATCAC